AACATGAAAACTTTTAAGGAAATTTTTGTCTCCATCATCTCATGAGTATGAGCTTAGGGAAAGGTACTGGACCGAGAACCCTGGGAAAATAATTATTTCTACCGGATATTTTTATGCATATTTGCATATGCATAATGCACTGTATTAGGTAAATTCTTTCTGTATTTAATAAAACATTTATATGTGCTTACAATGTAACAGGAACTTGTCTAAGCAATTATTGTCTGAGCAATTATAACTCTTCATATCTAAATTAAGAAAAGATACAATCCTATTTCTATGCCTACCTAGGATTTAGAAAGCTGTAAAAAAGTACTTTTCCCACACTAATGGTGAGAAAAGGCTGAATAAGCTATAATATCATACATTTTCTGGAACTCATTAGGGATCTGCGGGCACAAGGCAACGCACTTGCCTGAATTCCAGTTAAGGACAGACCATTCTTAGGTAAGGAAAGACATACCGACCATCTCACCCGTGCCCGAGCACAGAAAGAACACTGAATTTTTCCTCGAAACCCTACAAAGTAAGTACTATTGTTTACTCCTCTTTCTAGATATAGAAACAGAGACATGGAAAATGAAATAATTTGTCCAAGGTCACACAGTAGGTAGATGGTGCAGTCAGGATCTCAACCCTCTTAGTTTGGCCCCATCGTCCTCCCTCTGAGCCACCAGACAATGCTGCTTCTGTTGTCATTGCCAGCACCTCAGCCCAGCACCCAGAGGAAAACACTTAGAATGAAGACTGATGCCAGTGCTCCTGAACCTTTTCCCTTGTATCTGAACCCAAAGTGGAGGAGTGTCTTCCTTGTTTATGCCTTGCAAGTCTAGAGCCCTAGAGCCTTGAGCCTCTGTCTACTTCCTGGGAGATACGTGGTGTTTCCAATAGCTTCTGAAGGTGTCTACCATTTCTTCTTTGGTCTTACCTGTGAGTGGCAGAGAAGCAGTCTTGCATCAGTGCAACTAAAATTCATCTGTGAATTCCTACAGACACTTGAGGGTATCTGCAATTATCTCTGTGTTTGTTTCACAAACGGGGCACAGATAATTTCGTCTGACTTACTCGAAAGTGGTATATAACAGTAACAATTTATTATTTAATTTTTTTCCAAACAGGAAGGGGAAAAATCACTGAATACAGAGTAAATTAAAGGCCTATGGAGGAGAATTTGAAAAATGTTAAAATTTTCAAAGTTTGCTAAAATTAAATTCTTGGCCCATAAAATAGACGTAGGGATATGTGGGATGGGAGACAGAGAAGGGTACTGAGTTAATGCCTCGGCTACATTTCTTCTCTTTTTGAGGGTTCTTCTTTAAGCCTGAGTTCTCACATCTTAACAAGGACAATAATGGCAGCTTCTTTACAGAGATGTAATCATGACTGAAACAGATAATGCACAAAAAGTGCTTCTCACAGAGCCTAGAACACAGTGAACGTTCAATCAACGTTCCATGTCGTTGTTTGTTGTTATTATCTGTTAGGGTTGTCAGAGGCGTATGGATCAGGTGACAAGAAGGACTGGAGCTTTAAAGTTAATGCAAGTGGACCATGTGAGAAATCTGCTTATTGGATGGTATCCAAACCAACTCAGAGGAGATTCCCCAAAAAATCTAGTTTGAGCTTCCTCTAAGGTACCCAGCTCAAAAATGGAGAACAAAAAATGTGAGAATAGACCTTGGGTGCCTCTGTTTACTGTAAATAGATTGCTCAATAGCCCAAGGAGTTAAAATTGCACCAGAGGGTAGAGTTGCTTGGGATGTTTTGGAGAGGAGGGAGGTCTAGGGATAAATTGGTTTGGATTCTCATGCCTATGAATGGCTAGTTTGAGATATGAATTGAGGGACTATGGTTGAATTTGGATGTAGAGTGATGGAGTTCAGATATGAGGAGGAACCTGTGGGCATATGTGCAGGATATATGACAGAATGAGCCAGAATCCAAATGTTCTTCCTTCATCTCTACATCACATGGTTCTCATTTGGGAATTTTTCTTTGCAAAGCAAACGTGGGCTTCAAAATCTTTTCACTAGAGGTCTTCCATGCAAGACTGGTGAACAGTAGCTGGAAATTTGGTCAGAATGAATCCAGTCTGAGTTTGGTCCAGCCCTGCATCTGGCATTTCCTGGCCTACTGAGCCCAGAAGGATACTCCATCTCCTGGAATGTGATGGAGCAGTCCTGAGATGTGAGAATGGCTTTTACCCACCCTAGTCTCCACCTCTATGGTTTATCAGGGTGGGTCACAGGACACACAGTGAGACACTTCAGTGAGCAGGCATCCCATTTTATGGACATGTGACCGAGAAAAATGAACAAACCCTAAGGATCATGAAGTGTTCAGGTTTCTGAGTTGCACCCTGGGGCTGGCATCAGTGGAAATGTACCTCTACTCGGGTTAGCTCCATTGGTGACCACAAATCATCTTAGTCTGTTGAAGTCAAAGAATATTTATCATACAACTTCTATCATACCTGCCCCTTGCTTTTGTCTGATAAGTTTATGATACCTGTGATGTGCAAAGGTAGCCACTGTTAAGCCACATCTTTGGATGTTTGAACTGGGACAGACCTCAGAAACTACACAGTCTAATTCCCTCTAATCCTAAGGTTTTCTTCTGGTTCTTTATGCCTATTCTTACTCCATCCCTGAAAACACCTGTGCAGCCTTCAGATATGAACGTAAGGATGACTTCCAAAGGGAAGTTTTCCATGACCCATCCACCATTAACCCAACTGAATCAGTTTCCCCTGATATGTATGTATGTTCTCTTACCACCCTGTATTTCTCCTTCATGTAACTTGTCTCAAATACAATTAAATACTTGTACAATTATCTCTTAAATGCTTGTCCGCTCCCCAGCACTGCAAAGTAAATTCCATGAAGGCAAAGAACATATTGAAACTTTAGTTGAAAGACCTAGCCACAGACTTATCAGTTAATACCTGCTGAAAGAATAAGTAATGGATGAATATAAATAATGAATGAATAAATAAATGAATGAATGAATGAAATTTCATAGACACTTATGAAGATTACATAAGGAAGAATATAAATAAGGCTAACATACACGGTGTCTGGTGTATAATAGAAGATTATGAAATAATATTAGATCCTTTAGTTTCTCAAACGCTTGAAAGAAAAATATTAACATTTTGTGTTCAACTTTTTTATTCTTACTGTTATGACTTACACATTTCCCATGTTGTTAAAATCTTTGATAAACACAATTTAAATGATTTCATGATATTGTCACTTGGTATAATAGTTTAGATGCTTTTGGCTTCAAGCAAGAAAAAAACAACAACGCTGATTCAAAATGGCCTTAGTAATAAAGAAATTTATCTCACAAAACTGAAAAGTCCAAATGTAGAGCAGGCTTGAGGCTGGTGTCTATCAGCAGCCCAATGACGTCATCAAGGAGCCAGGTTCTTTCTCTTTTTTTGATCACCATTGGTTTCATCCTAAGGTTGGTTCTCATTACGGTTGTGATTTGCTGCCAGTACAGGGCTTTTTAACATGCAGCAAGAGAGACACAGAGAGAGAAATTCCAACTAGTCTTACACTTCCCAGGGGAATGTCACGCTCTGATGGCATAGACCTCTAACAGTTGTGAATATGCATTCTTAACTTATTGCATTTTATCTTGAATTAATGTCACACCACTTCACATATAAGAACTTAACAACAATATAATTCCATTTCCTCCCCCTTCTGCTATTGTTAAATAATTTACTTCTAGATATGCTATAACTCTGTAGTATACAATTCTTATGTTTGAATTAAAAATAGTCAATTGTTGGGGCTGGCCCAGTGGCATAGTTGTTAAGTTCACACCCTCTGCTTCGGCGGCCCAGGGTTCTCAAGTTCGGATGCCAGGTGTGGACCTATGCACCGCTTATCAACCAGGCTGTGGCAGGCGTCCCACCTATAAAGTAGAGGAAGATGGGCACGGATGTTAGCTTAGGACCAATCTTCCACACCGAAAAGAGGAGTATTGGCAACAGATGTTAGCTCAGGGCTAAACTTCCTCACCAAAAAAAAAAAAAAATAGTCAATTCATTTTTAATGAATTTCAGAAACAAAAATAAGTTTTAAACTCTTTTATATTTTTATACTCTGCCTTCCTTACTGCAATTCCAAAAATTTCACTGCATTTCATTTCCTTTAGGCCTACAGACTTTCTTCTTTGTAGGGCAGGTCTGTCTTCTTTATCTGAAAATGATTATATTTTGCCTCCATCTTGAAAGGATATTTTGTTTGATATGCAATTTTAGGATGAGAGTTATTTTTGTTTCAGCATTTAAAAAATGTCATTCTATTATCTTCTAGACCTTATTATATATCTTCTGAAAGTCAGCCATTATTTGTATTTTTATTTCCCTATGTGTAATACATCTTTTTCGCTGGCTGCTTTTAAGATTTTCTCCTTGTATTGGGTTTTTAGTAGTTTAATTATGATGTGTCTGAATGTGGTTTTGTTTCTGTTTATCTTGCTTGAGGTTCACTGAGCTTATTCTAAAAGGGGAGGGTCCTAAACCGTTTTGACTTTCTAAATAAGTAATTTCTTTACTTATGGTTAAGAAAATACTTCTGATTCTATACATAGAATCTGAACACTAGCTGTCTCTTGCTTCTGCTGCAGGTACTTGTGAAAGGCGAGGGAACGAAAGAGGTATTTCTTATACAGATACACGTACCTCCCAGTTCTTAGGCAGCTGTATTACAACTCAGAGTTGCTGAGTAATGGCGGGAACTTTAGGACCAGAAAGCAGTTCAGCCTTCTGGGAAAAGAGCCTCAGAGGGCACGCTGCCAACCTCTCAATGTTACTGAGTCACCTCCCTGAACATGAGACCTGAAGGGAGGGACTCCATTTCACACTCTGCTGCCAGAAGTTCACACAGTCAGGTGCGTTGCTTCTATTAAAAACCTCAGGTCAGCAGTTTTTGGAGAAAACAGATCAAAGTACACTCTTCAAGACCACTATACCGACGGTATATTTCATCTTCTGGAATAGTCTGCTGCCTCTTGTCTTTTCCTGGGGATCTCTGCAGAGATTGAATGAGAAGACAGCTTTGCAGGTGAGAACAGAGGAGAATCATTGCTTTCATTCTCCTCATCTCCTCTTGCTTCCCCACTGTAGTGGGATGAATCTAAATGCTACTGTTGGATGTGGATACGGATTTCTCAGCTCATTTGTGTAGAGAATTACGCCAGAGGGAAAGGATGTTCTTCTATTTGAGGAACCTGTATCAGGCACCCACTGTGTATTGGGCAGTATTCTAGTTCTGTAAGGAATTCTTGGCTGGATAAAGCCAGGACTTTTGTTCTGAATTAAATAAATGTGGAGAGTTTTAGGAACTTGCCATTGGCATAAGGAGAATAGAAAATGTAACAGCCTTTTAGAAGAAATGTTCTTTTTCCGGTCACATTTATATAATACGATTTGTAGACATACTGTGCAAACATTGTCTTATTTTATCCTCTAGAAATATTCTAAGGTAATGAAATTTTTCTTTAAATATCTGATGACCAGGGAAATTAAGTGCCCCACTTCAAGTTTCAAAGGGACAAAGTAGATTCTAGTACAAATACTATAATACAGATGAGATTAATTGCTAATTAAAACCATAAAAATAGATATAATTTAAAAAATGTGAGCTGTACTGTCATTTTCTACCTTCTTCTTGGTCATCTTAAGAGTCTCCCATATAGCAACATGTATATCATAACTTTCATTTTAATGGATTTTATAGTAGTAAAATAATGGCAGATCATTATTTATGTAGATTATCTTTGTAGAGAGACACTGAGATTGTGTCCACTACTTCCCCATAAGTTAACATTGCTTTACAAAATTTTTCATAGAGCATTTTTCTTCATTTGAATTGTTTTCTTTGGATAATTTCCAAGTACTGGAATGGCTACATCAAAGGTTTCAAAGTGCCCTTTATAGGAATTTGCCTATTGTTGCCAGCATTGATAATGTGCCAGCTCCCTTGGGTCTCCTCAGTTTTAGTCAACTGCATTTATTGAACATCATTTGTGTTTTCAGTGTGTATGTGTGTGTGTGTGTGTTTGTGCATGAGCAGAATGTAATCCCAAATGTACTTTGCAATACATCAATATAAATCCCCATTAATCTGGCATCAGACTCAGCTTTGCTTCTTATTTTCATGTAACATTTTTGTGAGATGCCCATAGCTAAAATGTCAGATTAATATTCAGAAATGTTATACTTCTACCGTCTGAGACCTTTCAAGACACGGCACAGGTCCCTCTATTCTAGTCTGGGGCTTTTTTCAAAGAAGGATCTGGTACAAATTCCCACACACAGCACATAGTAGGCCTTCAATAGGTACCTGTTGAATGAATGAATGAGTCTATGCCCTTGGTAAGTGGAGTGACTAAATAGATGGTTAGCTTAATATAAATACTAAATACATTCAATCATTAAACATATTTACTGAGTCCGTACTGGGTGTCAGAGAGTGTCATGAACGTTGAGAATAAGAGAATAAATAATTTGAATCCCTGCCCAGAGGATTCACAATCTAGAAGGTAAACTGTAATTCATTGTAACAAGTTTTGTAATTTAAATATGTACATGATTCTAGGAGAGTGCAGAAAAGAGAGTCATTTGTTCTGTTTGGACTGAGGGAGCGGAGGGAGTCGATGGGGGAAAACTGACATTTCAGTAAAACTTTGACAGAAGAATAAAAGCTGAATTTTGAAAGCTGTCTTGAGGTAGAGCATAAATACAATGAAGAAAGACCAGAGGTATTAAATCAGATGCTGAGGTAAAGAAATATTCCATGGTCTTTCATAGAAGAGAAGGACAACAGAGGAAACTAATAAACTGTGCTTTGATGGAAAACACAGAAAAATCACTTACAGGACTTGTGTGAATCCTACTAGTCTCAGCCTCTGCCCCCAGCAGTCACAATCAGACACAACCACTGATATTACACCACTCACAAAAATTAACTCGAGATGAATGAAAGACTTAAATGTAAGACCTGAAACCATAAAACTCCTATAAGAAAACGGGAAGAACTCCTTGACATTAGTCTTGGCAATGATTTTTGGATATGACACCAAAGGCACAGACAATGAAAGCAAAAATCAGCATGTGGGACTCTATCAAACTAAAAGGCTTCTGCACAGCAAAGGAAACTATCAGCAAAATGAAGAGGAAACCTATGGAAAGTGGGAGAAAATGTTTGCAAACCATATATCCGATAAGAGGTTAATATGTAAAATTTATAAGGAACTCATACAACCCAAGAGCATACAATCCTAGGACCTCAAGAGACATTTCCAAAGAAGACATACAAATGGCCGACAGATAGATGAAAAGGTGCTCGACATCACTAATCACCAGGGAAATACAAATCAAAATCACAATGATAACTAACCACAGTGATAACTAGACTTGTTGTGGCGATCATTTCACAGTATATACAAATATCAAATCATTATGTGGAACACCTGAAACTAATATAATACTGTCTGTCAATTATAGCTCAATTGAAAATAAGTAAATAAAAAGTTCAAGGAACCAAAAATAAATAAATAAAGATGTAAATGTAACTAAAAATATAGGAAAAATTGTTGAAACTGGCTACTGATGAAGTTTTGCAGATTAACTTTGAAAAATAGTATTTATTTTGGATAAAAATTAAAAGCTAGTATCCTAAGCTCAATGAAATTACTGTTAACAATTCATCAAGCCTACCTTTCCTGCCAACATACTTGTGTGAGAATGCTCTATATTATGAGTTTTATTTAACAAATGTGGAAACACTTTAGATATACATCATTGCCTGCAAATAGCATTGTCATCAATTCAGTATAGATTAGAGAAATTAACCAGAAGCAAGGTTATCTGTCATATTAAAAATTTTAAATCTTCTTATACATTGTGTTTGTTTAAATTGTGAGTATAGGTATTTAGTATGGGGAATTACTGTTTAGCTCCTAGGGTTTTGTTAAATTATGATTGGCAAACAAAAAGAAAAGTTGCAAAAGTCAGAATGCCTTTCCACATTAATCATCATATGTACATTTTCAATAAATATTGATACCTTTTTAAAAAAAAGTCTTCTCTGTGTTATGTTTATTCTGATTATATTATTGAATGTATTTTGAATCTAATAAAAATTGGAACTTGCCAAAAAAAAAAACCACAATGAGATATCACCTCACACCTGTTAGAATGGCTATCATCAAGAAGACAAAAGATAACAAGTGCTGGTGAGGGTGTGGAGAAAAGGGAACCTTTCTGCACTTTTGGTGGGACTGTAAATTGGTACCACTGTGGAAAACAGTATGGAGGTTCCTCAAAAAATTCAAAAACAGAACTACCATACGATCCAGCAGTTCCACTTGTGGGTATATATGTGAAGGAAATGAAATCGCTATCGTTAGGAGATATCTGTACTCCCGTGTTCATTGCAGCATTATTCACAATAGCCAAGTCATAGAGGCAAACTAAGTATTCATAGACAGATGAATGGATAAAGGAGTCATGGGATATGTATACAATGTAATATTATTCAGTCATGAGTAAAAAAGGAAACCTGCAATTTGTGACAGCACAGATGGACCTTGAAGGCATTACACTAAGTGAAGTAAGTTAGACAGAGAAAGACAAATACTGTATGATCTCACTTATTATATGTGGAATCTAAAAAAGCTGAACTCATAGAAACAGAGAGTAGAATGGTGGTTGCAAGGGGATTGGGGTTGGATGAAATGGAGAGATGCTAGTCAAATGGTACAAACTTCAAGTTATAAGATAAATAAATTCTGGGGACCTAAGGTACAGCATGGTCACTATAATTAACAATACCGTATTATATATTTGAAAGTGGCTAAGAGAGTAGATCTTAAACGTTCTCACACACACACAAAAAGTAATTATGTGATAGAAGTGTTAACTAAACATTTTGTGGCATCATTGTGCAATGTATATGTGTATCAAATCATCACATTGTACACCTTAAACTTACACAATGTTACATGTCAATTCTACCTCAATAAGGCTGGAAAAAGTTTTTTAAAAAGATGCAAGCACTGCTTAGTGGTTCTCAAGAGTCTCCTCCCCACAAATCATGAAGGAAACTCAAGGTTAAGTGAAAGGACTGTTTTTGTCCCCATATAACTGACAAAAAACATGAGGAAAAAGGAACACACATGACAAAATCAAAACATTAATTGTCAAAAAATTCTCTACAAATTAAAGCAACAGAATCAAAAGAATGTAATGAGATCATTAGTAACTGGAGCGTGATTGCCAATAGAAACACACTAACACCAGCACCATTTCTGCAAGTACAGATTCTACTTAATCTTCCCAAAGGACCAGTGTTCCCAGAGGTCAAGCTGGAGAAGAGAAGGCCCTGAACACAGTAGCCAGAGAGTTAGGAAGCCAAAGTGAGCAGAGAAGGAGCCAGTTGAAGTCAGATTCCTAGCACTGATGAGCTAAGTTCATGGACACCAAAAACAGTCCAGAGTGAACTTTAAACCAAGAGTCAGGAAAGTAGGTAGGTAAATGAGGTGATCAAAGTGTATCAGTCAGGATCCAAGTAGAGAACAGGGATTAGACCTTTTGCAATTGTGTGTCTAGTTAAGCAGTTTCTGTAAGGCTGTTTCTTCCCATCTGTTGCTGAAGGTTGAAGTTACACAGAGAATGTAGTTGGGAAAAGAAAATGGATTTAAAGGGAGAGAGAATAAGAACAAGCTGAAACCCACAGCACAAGCGGGCGCTCACAGGGACAGAGACTTGGTCACTTCTTGCTGACTCTGACCTTGGTAGAATGGATGTCCTGCAGAAGCCAGGTTCCTTCATTAAGGAGCTAAAACACCCTCACCTGGGCCAGGTGACAGAGAAACTGAAGGTGGACCTGGGGGACAGCAAAGCACTTGTTAGCCCAACCACTGCCTCATGTCAGGAATTTTGCTACAAAATGCCTGCTGCTTCATGTCTGCCCTCCAAATCTCCCACAGGAATCTCTCTTGTGGCTCATCCCAACCGGAAACATGCAGGGAAGGGAATTCCAGGAAAATGAGTTCAGCCTAGCTGAGGTGACACCTTACAAACCCACCACAGTAGATTCTCAATACATATTCATTGAGTTATTGAATAAGTAAACAAATGGATGAATAGATTGGTACTCAGGTTTCCAGGCTAGTCCCAAAAGTCCATTTAACTTATAATGAAGCTATACCAAAGTATTATTAAATAAAGAGCAACTCCAGACTTAGGTAAGAAGAAACTTTATTTGAAAGAATTATTGCAAGAGGAGAAAAAGATAATAGGAGGTGGAGACTATTTCAACAGGGAGAACTTTCAGACTGTAAGATTTACAAACCTCTGCTAGGTCAGGCAGAAAAAGGCTGTTCTTTTATAGAGAGGAGTAAGCCAGGTTCATGGAGTGTCTACGAAGGACAGTCTTTCTGCCTGCCATCGTTGGCTCAGCCTGAGGGTGGGTCACAGTTCAGAGCCCTGTGTGGAGGACAGAACCTTCATTAAACTTTGGTTAAATCCACTAAAAGTGGAACACATCAGAACACTTTGTCCTGCGGGGTTGGTGGGGATAAACACTCAAGCTAATCGTTTATGAGGCACCAGGAAACAGGGCTAGAGAGAATCCAGTGTGGGGAAGTGGGATGCGAGAGCAGCTGGATCAATACAGGTCCAAGAATGTTTTACCCTAAGTTCAGCCTGTTCTTGGTAGGGGCTGTTAAGAGGAGACTATATGCTGACTCAGCCTAGGGGAAGGAGAGAAGCTTAACCGAAGTTTGGTTAACAAGCATTTTGTTCTGATTTATCAGTGGTGATTCATAGTTCTGCTAATCATCTGTGAGGCAAAGATTGGGAATTTGGAGGGTGGGTGTCTGGGCTTGTCATTGGTTAATGAGGGGCATATCCATGACTCTTTAAGTCAGGTGGGGGAAGGATGGTCCCTTGCAGTAAGCTGTTTCAGGAATGCAAAGGGAGAGAAAGGGTTTCCTTAACACTTGCTGTTTTCTAGGATGGCTTGGGTAACGTTCAGTATTGTCAGGCTCTCAGAATATTGCATCTATTGAAACACATTTTGGCCTCAGCCTTTGGTCTGCCTTGAGAATTAGTTCTACAAATCTTCTTGCTTTACTGAATTGAAGGGTATTGTTGAGGATTTTACCTACTATATCAACAATTCCTGAATATGGCTGCATAAGAAAATCATCTGGGGAAGTGTCGGAGAGAATGTGGAGCAAATGGAACTCACATACACTGCTTTGGGAATGTAAAAGAGTGCCGCCACTTGAGGAAAACAGTTTGGTAGTTTCTTATAAGGTTAAACATATGCTTACTATATGACCATGCAAATGCACTTTTACATATTTACCCAAGAGAAATAAGAGCATATGTTCAAAGACTTATACATGAATGTTCACGTGTACACATATCATAACCACAAAAAACTAGAAATAACCCAAATGTACTTCAGAGGAAACTGGATAAACAAACTCTGGTAGATCCATGCCATGGAATACTATTCAGCAATAAATTATGCAACAATTTGAACAATCTCAAAGGCATTTTACTAGTGAAAGAAGATAGTCTCATAAAGTTACATACTAAATAATTAATTTTATTTGACATTCTGTCAAAGGAAAAGCCATAGGCCAGAAATCAGATTAATGATTGCTATGGGCTGGGAGTAAAAAAAGGAGATGGATTGCAAAGGGACATGAGTAAACTCTTGGGGCTATTCAAATTGTCTATATCATTATTATGGTGCTAGTTACACTAATATATACATTTTCCAAAACTCATCATAGTATTCATTTAAAATTGGTGAATTTTATTGTATGTGAATTATAACTCAATTAAGTTGAAAAACAAAAATAAAAATAGTCTGAATAGATTTTTTAAAAATATAGATTTCTAGATCTCATACTCCCTTAAG